TTTCGAAGCCAGATCTGACAATTGATCATTTCCCCCTGTGCTTTCTGATGCTTCCCGGCTCCATGTCCCCACCACCCCCACGTTTAGGACATACTCAGCTGGATGTACAGTGCCCTGTGGAATGGGGTCTTCAGGGGAAAAAAGAAAAAAGAAAGTAAAACCGTTCACCTGCCGTAGACAGCCCAGGACTCAGGATAAAACAGCAACAACAGAAACAGTAGCAACTGTAGGAGCAGCAGCATGCAGTGAGTGCTCTGTGGGCTCAGGGTCTGACACGGATGGGTTCATGGATTCCTTATAAGTCCCCCCCCGTGAGGACCAGGTCCAGCCCACTGTGTTTCCCTGCTCTGGCTAAACTGTCAGAGGCAAGGGGTGGTAGGAATTGTTCATTTTTTTTTAATGACAACGTTCCGATAAAGACCCCACTTCTCCAGCAGGGCTGAATCTGGGCCCCTGAGGCCGGACAGGAACATAGGTAGGCCTTATGAGCAACTGGAAACACAGGCCCAGACAACTTCTGCATGTTCAGGAGGGAGCCGTGGCCTCAGAGCAGCTGCTCATTGAATCAGCGTGGCCCAGGTGCAGACTTCCGATGAGTCAGTCACTTCCAGTCACTGCTCTCCAGGGAACCTGCCTTTGGTGGCTGGTCTTGGTGGGGAGTGTCATGGGAGGGGTCATTGGTTCTCATGAAATCAACCTGTGATCCTTTAAAAAGAGGTGGTAAAGGGAACAGTGTAACCATCACTCCCCAGACATGACTTCCTAAAGAGCAAATCCCAGTAGTTCCTTATCGTCTGGGGTCAGGGACCACCTGTTCACAGGGAGGGGGCCTCCTGCTATTTATCTCGCATCTGGCAAGGCTTTCTATTGTGGCTGCAGGTCAAGGACTCATCGGGAAATGCTAATTTGAGAGTGAGTGGATGGATAAATGTGTAGACTGGGAAAAGTTTTCAAAAATCATTTGTCATCGCCCACACCCTCCACGGTCCTCTTCTGTCTTCTAACTCTTTCCGTGGTCTCCTCTCCCCAGTGAAAAATCGAGGGTATTTATGTCCAAAATTACCCCGCTGGATGCCAATTCCCATGGAAACTTCAAAAGGGAGGCAGGTACCTAAAATAGTTCAGGCTTTGCTCCTCTCAGAACTCTTCCAGTGAGGCGATATTGATGGAGCTGTGATCACATCTGGCTGGAGAAAGAGCCATTGTGAGCTAAGAGATGGTCAGGCAGCCCCTTCAGGGGAGGCCTCCTGGTTGCATTGTTGGTTCTAAACATTCAGGCCCTCTGAATCCGACAGCTCTGGGAAGACTGGCTCCCTTTCTTCCATTACAGGCAGCGCATGGCTGAGGGCTGCCCCAACTCAGAGGTGACCTTCGTGCTTTAGGGCCAGACCTGGAAACACTGCCCTAATTTCCGCCTCACAGTCCTTGCACTCACATGCTTAGGCTGTAGTCAGGTCAGAGGCTGGAGCCCCAGAGGTTACTCATGGGCTTGTGGTGACATCCCCTAGCTGAATTTTAGAGTTGGGGAAAGGCCTTCGAAGTTAGACAGACTCAAGGCTTTGAGGAAACCCAGCGCTTCCAGGAGGTGCTTCCAGGATTCCACATGTAATCTAGTATTTTTAGAACAATGAAAATGTAAATTGTCTGAGGAACAGTTTCAACCTATTTGTATGTTTTATATTGAAATTCTGTGCATAATTTGGAGAAATGAGTTCAGTTGCTTAACAAACAAAACAACACTGGTCTAGTTCAGTACCTCTCAATTTGCTCAAATATATATTGGGTCTTCGGAAAAGTCATGACACATGTTTGCGATAGATGGCACTAGTTAATTTTTGGAAATACTAGCGTCATTCGCATCTATGTTATTGCTATGTCATTTGACAGCTGACAGTTCTAGCTTCATTCTAAAAAACATTGAGCCATTTGGTTGAGTTTTGGAGATTTTACGACAAGTTGAAGATGGAAGACCAAATTGTGCATTTTTGCCATATTTTATTGTTTTACTTCCATAAAGGGAAGAACGCGCGTCAAGTTTGTGAAAAGTTGCATAAAGTTTACGGTGACAATGTTCTACAAGAACATCAGTGACAACAATGGTTCACGAAATTCCATGCTAGTGATTTTGATCTCAATGATGCTCTTTGGTCAGGGAGGCCCACCGAGGTTGATGATGACAAAATAAAGGCATTGATCGAGTCAAACCATGTTACATGACATGAGAGATTGCAGGAACATTGAACTTCCATCATTCAAGCATTCATGACCATTGAAGAAGCTGGGATACGTAAGCAAGCTTGATATTTGGGTTCCGCATGAACTTAAAGAAGTTCATTTGATGGCGCATATAAACATCTGCAATATGCTCATTAAACGTGAGGAAAATGATCCTTTTTTGAAGCGACTGATAACTGGTGATGAAAAGTGGATTGTTTACAACAATGTGGTGCGCAAACGGTCTTGGTCCCAATGTGATGATTTGCCTCAAACAACATCGAAAGCAGACATTCATCAGAGGAAGGTTATGCTCTCAGTGTGGTGGGATTTTAAAGGTGTCGTGTTTTTCGAGCTCCTACCAAGGAACCAAGTGATCAAGTCAAATGTGTACTGTCGATAATCGGATAGTTTGAACGAATCCATCATCCAGAAATGTCCAGAGCTTGTTAATTGTAAAGGAGTTGTTGTCCATCGCGACAATGTGAGACCACACACAAGTCTGATCACCTGTAAAAATTTATTGGAACTTGGATGGGATGTGTTGCGACACCCACTATACTCACCTGACCTTGCGCTGTCAGACTTCTGCTTGTTTCGCTTTCTTCAAAACTTCTTGTGTGGTGTAACATTCAATTCAGATGAGGCTGTAAATCAGCACCTTGTTCAGTTTTTTGCAAATAAAGACAGGTCCATCTATGAACGAGGAATTATGAAGCTCACTGAAAGATGGCAAAAGGTTATCAAACAAAACAGGCAATATATCATTGATTGATCTTTGTTCTTTATATAAATAAATGACCTTTGAAAAACATAGACAAAATACGTCATGACTTTTCCGACAACCCAATATTTATTGAACATCTCTGTTGAGCAGGGACGGGGCTGAGCTGGGTTGGGCTGGGCAGGACAGGGCAGGCCTCAAGAGGCTTAAAATCTATTAGGTGGCAGTGTTGTTACAGCAGATACATAAACCATATAATATGTTAGGAATATTGGAGTTGAAGACACTGAGGCTGAGAGGAGTTAAATGACTCACTCAAGACCAGATTAGTGGGTAACGCAGTTAGGACCACAGTCAAAACTGGTTAACGTTCTACAAGGCAATATGCCCTAACCTTTGGGGGTTACCTTTTCTACCAGACAGGAATCGTTTGTGTTGCTTTTGGGTAAGAATCATACACATTGTTCTCATCAAGAATCATTTCCACTGTTATTGGTTTTCTACAAGTTAACCTCGACTCTTACAGACTTGTAAAATATTCTAATCGATAGACGTCAAATCAAGGTACACATCACTAGAAAATCAGATAATTCCTAAGCATGGTGGGTCTACTAGTCAATACCCTGAATTATGTTGAAAGGGCACCCAATATTCCCTTTGCCTGTTTCCCAGTTTGGGGTAATTTTCCCTAACACTGTGTGTGTGTGTGTGTGTGTGTGTGTGTGTGTGTGTGTGTGTGTGTACACACAAGTACATTTTCTGGATATGTTTTTGTTCAGTTGTTGAAAGGGAGGGAGTTCAGTCACACTATAATAAAATGGACGAAGACACTCAGCTCAATGAGAAGTTTCATGGACACTGAGAAAACACCCCTACCATCAGGGTGATTTCTCCCCAAATAGATTGGCTAGTCTTACTAGCTGCGGGCAAAGGGGCCACTTTAGAAAATTGGATAAAGGAACTGTCGGGATAACTGGGTAACGGGGAGGAATGGGTCTTCCTCATTCTGCCTCTGCTATTGAAAAAGGCCTTCCTGGAGGCCCTGCAGGTTTTGCCTGGCTAAGGCCAGGAAGGCTGAGCTAGGACAAGCATGGAGGATGGGGGCTTCCGTCCAAGCAAATGCCTGAGGTTTGCTTCCAGGCTGAGCTTCTCAGGGCTATTTTGGTCCCTCTGGTTTTCACTGCTCCTCCTCCCCCAGCTTTTTTCTCTGTCCTTTGACAGTATGAAGACTGTTCACATTTGAATGGCATTTTGTAGTATGCCAAGCGCTTCTCCCTTACCTCACTGAATTCTTACACAAATCCTATGAGATAGATATTATCATTTCATAGAGGTGAATTGAGTTGCACAAGGTCATGACACGGTTAGTAAGAGGAGCATTCAGAATTCAAACACAGGCCTCCCAACTCCCAAGTTCCAGCGTATATAAGTCAACCTTTTGTTCTCCCGGCATAGGTCAGTCAGCCCTTTCCAGCATTTCTGCAGTTCTCCCTGGAGCAGTCTATGCTTAGATCCAAAGATATATGTATTGGGAAGCTTGAGAAGATTCCAGAAGATTTGCTTTTCCCTGGCAGTCCAGTGGGACAATGCCATGGGCGCTCCCCCCCCCCCATATTTAGGCTGCATGTTAATGTAAGTCAAGCAGGGCCTTGGGTCCCCTGTGTAGTGGTTGTGACGATATCACCAGAATCATTGGATGGAGGACCCATTGCCACTGCTCTGGTCCTCAGATTTTCATGTGCATGATATAGGTGTCAAATTAGTTGTTAATTAAAGCCTTTACATCTGTTATGATCTGACACTTTGGGTCCACGGCTCCGCCCTGCTCCCTCACTGGCCATCCCTGTGGCCTCATCAGTGGAGGGCGGTGATGAGTTCCCCAGCCTTCCTTATTGTCTTTCTTCCTTATCAAACAGCCTGTGTTGGGTAAATGTCTGTGGTCTGGTCAGGGTGTGTTAGTGTGCATCTGAGAGCTGTAAACCTGGGCACTTGGGAAGGATGGGGCAGGCCAGTTACTTCGTCAAGTCAAATCAGGACCAATGCCTTTGTCTCTCTGTTGCAGGGCCCAACATCTGTACCACACGAGGCGTGAGCTCCTGCCAGCAATGTCTGGCTGTGAGCCCCATGTGTGCCTGGTGCTCAGATGAGGTAAGGAGCAAACACCTCACCTAACTTCTTCCCCAGACTCAGCTGCTTTTGCGTAGGAACAGACCCAGGGGATAGCTCCTCCCTCCTAAATACACAGGGTCCCTTGTCCCTTCTGAGCAAAACTAGGGCGAAGCCTTCCCATTGATGGGTGCCAAAGTGAGCCGTTGTGGAGGAGTTGCTGGGAATGCCATTCAGGGTCCACCCATGGCCCCAGGCTCTGGACAAGTGTGGTTGGTCCTTCTGGCCTCACTGTTGGCATTGCCACCCTTTACCACCCTTTGCCTGCTTCTTGTTGGGGTGGAACACCCCAGGGAAGCAGGGCTTCAGGTCTCAAAAGGAGAGGCAGGAGAGGGTTCTAGGTTCGCAGGGGATGCTGGATTATAGACACCCCAGAATTTTTAAAAGGCAAATGAAAGAGGACTCTTGCCCTGGTGTGGGGGGATGTTTAGTCAGATTTTTTTCCTGTTTCCTCTCTGATGATGGGCTGGGCCTCGCAGCTTTACCTTTTCCTTTTTCTTTCTCTGCTTTTCCACCTTCCATCCCTCTCCTAGGTGTCAGCGGGGGAAGGAGCTGGGCCAATTTGGTGAGGATGGGAGGGTGACCGGAAAGGGTTAGCTGTGTCTAGTCAAAGGGTTTGTTGTGTCTGGGGCCCTAGGGAATGAGTGTGTCTGAGGAATGGCTGTGTTTGTGGCTGGGACGGAATTCGGAGCTGGCAAGACCTGGTTGGGGTCGGGGGGTGGTGAGTGTGGCTGGAGTGATTCCAGTGATTACAGAGTCTGAGGCTGAGTCATTGGCCTGGCCCCCCGGCAGGTGGTTACCTGAACTCCTGGCTGCCTCTCCACCGCCACCTGAGGTGCCCTCTTTGTCACGACAGCAGGTTCCTGCCTCTGCAGTTTTAGGAGGCTCTAACCCAGGCCCTCATTCTCTCTGTCTGCATCTCTCTCCAATCTGCTGAGTTTCCTAAAAAGGCAACCTCCCTGGCAGGCTGGTGGGGGCGGGGGCGGGGGCAGGAGTGGGAGGCTGTGTTTATGCCTCCACAAGAAGACCGCCAGAGGCAGAGGCCAGCCCAACACACTGCTTTGGCCTGAGTGCAGTTCAGCACGGGAACTGTTTCCAGAAGCAGCTGCCCAACATCTGGGCCACATTGACTTCATTTAGCAAATGAAACATTCCCTGGGGCTGGGGGTGGGGGTGAGGGGGTGAGGCGAGGGTGGGAGTGAGTCCTTCCTCTCTACCCCCTCAGGTTCTCCACCCCTCTGGCTAAGCTGGAGGCTCAAGTGGGATGTGGCCTCCTCCCTTCTCATTTGCCATAGCCTCCTTCCCTTGGTCACCATCATATTATTGTATTAAGCTTCTTTTACAAGGAAGTTGGACCCCTGCGGCTGAATCCTGGAAGGAGTGAGATCTGGATGGGGAGGGTGCCTTGTTGGGTTGAATGGCCCGAAGCTGGCTGGAGCAGAGGAGGAGGCAGGGGAGAAGCCCTAGTGTCACTCGCAGGATGCGCCCCCTCTTCCTCCTTTTCAACCCAAAGCAAGAGAAAATGGAGACAACTGTGGCCCAGAGGAGTGTAGGGGAAAAGAAATATATTCTTGGAGTGTCTGTCAGTTTCTTGATCTGAACAGGGACAAGCCAGGTAACTGAGGTAAGCTGAGGCCTGACCAGATAAAGCCCCTAGACCACGTGACCAGATTCTGGTGAAGCATATGTGGGTTACTTATAGATGGCCCTGGTGAATTTTGCACCCTGGGGCAGAACAGGGGGAGGGCAGGGGGAAGGGAAGATACAGGGTAGGATCAAAGCATAGGCTAGGACCAGCCTGGGAATGGAGGGTGGAGTCAGAGAGGAAATGGGTAGGTCTAGGACCAAAGGAAACTAGTGAGAGGAGGAAGAATGTCCAATAAGATATTCTCTGAGAGAATGATATATAAACAGGAAAGTGGGGGAGGCCAAGGATTCAGTGAATGACTACAACTATCTCTGAGCAAGAGGGAGGAGGGGAGGAGAGAAAAAGCAGGGGAGGAGGGGAGGAAGATAGTGGAGGAACCCCTTGTGGGGCAAAATGTGTCAGCCGGGGAGGAAAGGGAGGTGGGAATCCCAGGCTGTAACCTGAACGTAGCTGCTCGTTTTTGTTTTTTTTTTTCTTGAGGGCTTCCCTTGTACAAACCGAGTTTAACTGCTGAAAGTGTCTTGGCTGTTGGCTTAACCAAAAGTGAACCGCGTGGGCCATTTTGTATGTGATTTGTTGATTAATCAGCCCTGGAGAGCCCTCTGCTTCTGCCTCCCTACCTTGGCTGTTGTAGGCAGGATTGGCAGTGTCTGGATAAACAACTGGTTGGGCTCAGCTTTCCCTTGGTCCTAGAGGACAGCAGCTTTGGGTGTGTATAGCGAGCGCTTGGCTGGGTAATGGGAAAACATAGCCAATGTGGATGAGCACAGAGTTTGGGGCCCATCTGCATAGGGTGTGTTCTTGGGGGGTTGGATACTGACACGGGTTGCGAGGGGGTGGTGGTGTGCTGTTTTTGAGCTGTGAATCTAGCAAAGAGGCCGGCCTCACACCGAGTTTTAACTTGTGGTCCTGGCTTCAACGGCGCCATGTTGGAATCTAGACCCTTCCAAACTTGCCTGGCGGTGAGAGTTTCCTGGGGTGTTGGTTAAATATAAAGCTCCCCAGGATGGACCCTGTACCTATTGCATCAGACTGGGTTGTTATGACAGCAAGCTTGCCAAATACTGCTAATCGAAGGGGCTGATCATTGGGGTCATGGTGGGTGGAGGTGGAGTTCAAGTCGCTAGATAAAATACAGGATACCCAGTTAAATTTGAATTAAACAATACATAATATTTGGTATAAGTATGTTCCAAATATTTGCTAAATTTGGCAGCCTTAAGGTGGAGGGAAATACTTCCACCTAAGGTGGAGGAATTTTAAGAGTCCTGAGTGCACATCAGAAGGTGGACCAGCTCACACTTGGCCTGACATCCAAGGATGAAAGAAGAATGGGTTTGGGTCTAGCCAAAGGAGAAGACTCCAATAGGACTTACTGCTTATTTTCTTCTCTGCATCTACGGGGGAAAGGTTTAGGCCACTATTTAATTCCTTTTTAGTCACTAATATAATTTCATTCTCACTTTTTTCTCATTTTTCTAAAATTCTTTATTATTATTTTTATTGTGAAATACACATTTTTTAGAATTAGTTTCAGCTGTACAACACAGTGCAATAGTTATACTTTTTCGTTCTCACTTTTCTGTTGCTTTTTTTTTTTCCCCTTTCTACTTTTGTTTTTAATCTGGAGGATAAATGTTCATCTTAAGAGTTTTGTTCCAACGTGTTATTGTAACAAAAAGTATAATATTAAAAGTGCTCTTCTCCCTGTAAACAATGGGATGTGAATACTAATAACCATAATAAAATGTTTTCCTTTTCTTCTCCTTTCTGTCCACTCCACGCTTCTCTCTTTGTATGTTCAAGTGATTTCTTGATCTCACTGGATGTCAATCAAGAGAACAGTGTTAATTGATTTGGATTGAGGGTATTTGGTAGCTCTCTGGGGAAAAAAAATAAGGACCAGGACATCCTACTGTGCTTTGTCCTCCAAAAAAACAGAGGATGCAATAATGGTAGTAGTTATAATGGTAATAGTAGAAAACAATCACATTCTATTTGCATTTACTTGGTTATAGCTTATCTCAAGGATTTGAATATATTTGACTTATATTGAGATTTTTATATTTTGAAAGCATTTCACATTCAGTCTTGTTTCATCCCCTGACCAACCCTGTGAGATAGGTAGGGTAGTGACAGTTATTCATGCTGTACTTCCCCAATTTCCAAAATGGGATTAGTGGAGAATGGAAGAACATGTGTCACTCTCCCAGGAGAGGGAGGGAATTTACCTCACACAGACAGGCATGTGGGCCGGAGCCTCCCAACTCTCTGTTTCAGTCTTCCCCTGGGTCTTGGTTATTTTTGCCCTTTTTGTGTAACATCCGGTTTCACTAGAAACTGAAGTTTAATAGCCCTTCCCCCTCCTTCCAGTTTCTCACTGAGTAACCTGAAGACATTCCTTGTACCTTCTCAGCCTGGGTTATTAAGAAAGGGAACGTTGCCCAAGTGCACTGAGGTCACTGCTTGGTATTCTTCTGGGATGGGAAGGAGTCTCTCGGGGAGAGCGTGGCTCAGGGGCAGGCCTGTTATGTTCCTGCCCTCTGATGTCAGTGACCACAAAGGGCAGGAGGGAGACAGTTTTTGTTTCTCAGTGTTTCTATTTCTAAGAAAATTCATAACAAACCAGAAGGACTGTCAGCAAGACTTAGCACTTCCAACCTTCTTTGAGTAAGCACTGTCACGTTAGAAAACGGGGATGAGGAAGCCCACTCTCAAACTCCAAACATTCTCTCCCTTCGCTGGTGCAGCTTGAGGATACACGATGGGCCTGCTGCTCTCATGCCGTGTCCTGGCCTCACCCTTCCCTCTCTCCTTCAGCGTCTTAGTCCTGGAAAGGCTCTGCTCTTTGGTGTATCTTGGTCTTTCCAATCATTGCCTTTTTTGGAAGGGTTTCTTTCTGGGGCTTTGTGGGCAGCTGGAGTCAGAGATAAGGTAGGGAGTTTTCTGAGCAAGAGAGAGACTGCTTCCTGAGGGAGAAGGTTCGGGAGAGATGGGCAGGGGCAGCAAAAGGCGTTTGGGCACAAAAAAGCGAAGTGCTCATGAGTTCTCCCCTCGGCCATTCTGTCCTCTGCCAGAGTTGAGTGCAGGGAGGGGACTGTCATTTCTCCCTGAGACTTGGAGGACCTATGTTGTCCCTGTTGGAGTCTTTTGAGCCAGAAAATTGAAGTCTTATGCATGGTTTCCCACTGCTGATGCCATTTCTCTACCTCATACCCATGAAGCTGAGATAGGAAGAAGGAAGCTGCTGGCTTCCAGAATCTCTTTCCACTTTTTGCCTGGGTCAGGGGTGGTCCTCATGAGTTTTGTCTTCATCTGTTCAGGCTGCTATAACAAAGATACCGTAGCCTGAGTGATTGAACAACAAATATTTATTTCTCACAGTCCTGGAAGCTTGGAAGTCTAAGATCAAGGTACCAGCAAATTTGTATCATAGGTGACTGACTTCTTGCTATGTCCTCACGTGGCAGAAGGGGCCAGGGAGCTCTCGGGGGGCCTCTTTTTAAGGGCGCTAATCCCATTCATGAAGGCTCTACCTCATGACCTAATCACCTTCCAAGGCCCCACCTCCTAATACTGTCACCTCAGGGGCTTGGGGGTTAGGGTTTTTTGTTTGTTTGTTTTTTATTTTTATTGGGGAATTGGGGGGATGGGAACAGTGCTGGGGAATTGGGGGAAGGGGAACAGACAAGTTGTCTGTTTTGTTCTTCAGTCTAGTAGTGGAGGATGTCGCCTCACTGGCCCAAGTTGGCACCATCACTGCGCTCCTCCTGGGCGAGGCACATCAGTCGCCGGCTTCTGGACGGCCGCTCACTGTGGCTGCTGGCCGCTCACGCTGGCTGCTGGCTACACATGGTAGCCCATGGCAACCCACTGCCACAGGG